TTGGCTGCTTCTTGAAGAATTCGAAAAAGTTGTCAATTGCTTGTTATTTTATTATGCTTTTTGTTTAAGTTTGGATATATATTAAATGCTCTTCCTGTTAGTGTGTTTGTCTCTTTTATTGATATGATTATTTGTTATCTCTTGATTATATATATATAGAGAGAGAGACAGACAGACAAAAAGTCAGAAATTTAGAACCAATTTCAGGAAGACCCAAAAGAAGTGAAATCCAGTACCATTAAATTTCAAAATACCCCATAAATATGTAAAATAGGAATTTAAGAAATATGAAGTACTGAAACCTAAAAAATTACAAAACCAGAAAAAATGCAAAAGAAGAATTTGGTCAAATCTGATACATCGTGATCAAGAGGAGTATACATCAGACTCAATATCATCCCCCCTTTCACTTGAAAACCACTGCATTTCTGTTATCTGAAATTAGCTGATGAACCATTCTAAAGTATTTAATTATAACAGTTAATATGAAAATTTTGAAGTCCTCCCTGAAGCAGTATAAGTAAAAATTCTGAGTACAATAAAGCAATTGAAATTACTTAAGACACTTTTAACTGAAATTAGAATTGAATTAATACAAAACTTATTGGTCACAGAGTTAACCCATTAGAGACATATATTAGTATTTCATTTAAAGAAAATCCTAATGTTAAAGCAGTAAAGTACACTTTTTCATAAAATGCAAGATTAAAATTCAAAAATTGAAATTAAAATGTAGAAATACAATACAGAACGTTTTTAACCAATTAGAAATTTTGAAACGAAGAGCATAGTTTGGCATCATTGGCAAAACTAATTGGTGGTGGCAAAGGAGAATTCTCCTAAATGGTAATTTAATTGCCAGTAATAAAATTATATTTTTTAAAAAGAGAAAAGGAAGAAAAGAAACAAGGCTAGAACAAGGCTAAGAATATAGTAGTCCCTTTGTTAATAAAAGTAAAGTCAAGAAAAATTGTAGTTAAAATAATATTATGCATTAATGGAAATAAAATGAAATACTATAAAACTTCCTAAAAACAGGCTTCTTTATCTTTATGTGAGCTTTCAGATAAAAAATTCACACTTTTAAAAAATTTTATAGGGTTGTAAATTTCTCCAGCTTTTTTTAAAAGACTGTTAATGAAGTAAATTGAAATTTCATCTTATTTTAAAATTTTTGTAAGAATGACAGTATATTTTGCTGTTGTTCTATGTTAGTGCAAAATTTTTTAATTCAGTTAATTTGATTAAAATCTGTATTTGCTATTACTTTTTTATATGTATTCGAGTACTAATTTATAAGTTTTATTGTAGAAAAATTAAGTTTTCTTCTATCAAATAGTCTAATTTCTTTAAGATTATGAAAGCTCATTTCTTCAATTCTTATTCTACATATTTATAGGGTATTTTGAAATTTAGGTATTGAATTTCACTTCTTTTGGATCTTTGTGAAGTTCTAAATTTCTTACTTTTTGTCTATATTGATTAATTTTCAGCAACATATGGTGTGAAAATACTTGGAATAATTTTGTTCTTAAATAAAAAAAATATAAAAAATTGTGATACTATATATATGAATGAAAACTGATGAAAAACAAAAGTATGAAAAGAAGTTGAATTGAGAAGCATTTAATTGAAAGCTTCCTGTGCTTAAGCTGCAAAGAATATAATTAAAAGCAATTAGTATAAGGCAATATTTAAAAACAAAATTTTCTTTTAAGCCTATCGTACCTGAGGAAATTTGTGTATGGTGTTAAAATGGATGCACATTAATTGGAAGTAATAATATTAAAGCCGGATTCACATCCGTTTTACTACCTTACACAATCTTCCTCATATACTCAAGTAACACACACAATATACCACATATACAATCCTCAGATAGCAATATTTAAAGAAAACATTTTTTTAAATTATCCTATGTATGTATATATTTGTATAATTTAATAAATAAAACCACTGAATCTTAACAAAGCATGTCACATCATGATTTTTTTTTCAAATTAGAATGTTATTTCAAAAATATTTATTTATTTTTATGTTACAAGCTGCACTTAACCCGTCAGCACATGCACTGGGGTAAAATCCACCCCACGTGTAGTCTTTTCTTAGAAAATAAGGGAAGGTCGTACGTAACCTTTCTAGTACTTCATGTACCTTTCAAGATCAAGGTTAGGAAGGGGTCGCCCAGAGGAATATTTCCTGTGTCCTTGGGATTTTGTATTTTCGGGGAAGGAATGTGCAATGGGATTGTAGCTACCCTGCACGTGTACTAACATTTCACTTCTAGAGAGACATTCATTGAGATGAGTGCGTACGATCGAGAACAGTAACGACTGTGGTTTCTTCTCGCTAGTGTTGAAACTGATAGCAAAATTGAAGATTCCAATTCTGAGTGCGATAATATTTCTGAAAGTGCTTACGAAACTGATTATGACCATAATATGATGATTCAAGGGAGCATATCTTCTTTGACATCAGATAATTTTTATATCTGAAAAGATGGAACAATTTGAAGTAAAATCATTACCTTCGAAAAACGTTCGAACGCAACCGAACAATATAGTGACACATTTACCTGGTGTCAAGAAAAGCTTTAGAAATCTGAAAAATCCAACTGAATGTTTATTGCAAATTTTTCATGAAGAAATAATGGAAGATTTGGTGAAATCAACAAAGACTTACATTTCATCAATAAGAAACAAATTCTCTAGAGAACATGATGCACAAGAGATAAACGTAGCTGAATTGAAGGCGTTGTTTTTCCTATTATATTACGCTGAAGTGCTGAGAGCAACACTTTTCAAAGCAAAGATTTGTGGTCAACTCATGGAAACGGAATGACTGTTTATCAAATAACAATGTCTATCAACCGATTCCACTTCCTGTTGAGGTGTATTAGGTTTGATGACATAAATTTACGAGCAGAGTGAAAGATGACGGCTAGACCTTGCACTTATTAGAAATAGTTTTTGAAATATTTGTCAAAAACATATAAAAAATATATTCTTTATCTGAATATTGTACTATAGACTAAAAATTAGAACCCTTTCGAGAAAGGTGTCAATTCAGACAATAATATAAAAGTAATCTCCCAAGATATGGAATAAAAACTTTTGCTTTGTGCGATTCTCATACATTTTACGCATACAAGCTAGAAATTTATGCAGGTAAGCAGCCTGTCAGACTATATAGACAATCATTGTGGCATTGGATGTTCGTATGGGATGAATGTGACATTGGATGTTGTACAAAGACTAATTGCGCCCATAAGTGGAACTGAAAGAAATATAACTATGGATAATTGGTACATGAGCACTCCTTTGGCCAATGCATTATTGAAAAATCACAAATTGACATGTTTTGGGACACTTCGAAAAGATAAGCGTGAAATTCCAGAAAACTTACTGCCAAATAAAACAGGCTTCTGTACTCTTCGCATTTTGGGTTTAGAGGTAAAGAATTATCTCTTACTTCATATGTTCCAGAAAAGAGTAAATCGGTTCTTGTTCTATCATCCATGCATGAGGATAATGAAATTGATCCATTGTCTAAAGAGCAGCTCAAACTCAAAATGATTACTTTTTGCAACTCTACAAAAGGTGATGTTTATACTGTTGATGAGTTATGTGGAACTTAGTCTGTTTCAAGAAAATGCCGCTGCTGGCCTCTAACGGTATTTTTCGGACTAATGAACATTGCAGGTATAACTGCTTTTATTATTCATAGATCAAATAACGACCAAGTGAATATGAACCGAAGAGCTTTTTCCTCAAAGATATTAGCATTAGAGCTTGTAGCATTAGAGATATAGCATCCTAAAGATAGGGCTAGCAATTCTAGAGCTCGAAAGAACTCAAAAATGGAAGTATAAAGGTTGGCAGGAATAGAAAATGCAGCAGACCTTCACCCTAAAAAATTGTTTGTAAAAATATGTTGTCACACTATGTGAGGATTGTTCAAAACGAGATTATTTGAATAATTAAACTCGGGTAGGAGGGGAGGGGCGGAAAACCTATGTGTTATTTATATTTTTTAATATTCGTATTTAGAATCTATTCTTTGATATGAATAATTGTATGACATTATATTGAGTTTTAAGGAAAAAAGCTAGTAAGAATGCAGCCTTTTCATATTCCTCTAGTGCTTTATCAAACCACTCTTTATAATAAACACTTATGTTTAAAAATATGTACATATGAAAACTAATTTTTCTAATATAAGAAATCATATATGTATGTTATAGTAGTAATTTAGTAATTTTGCATAAATTTCGATTTTTATGGCTTACTTTACGTAACCAGTATGGAAATGTTTGTATAACTTAAAGTAAGATTATCTCAAATTAAAACTGGAAGAAAGGTTTAACAGAATTCACAAAGCTAGTAGTCATTTATATATTCATTTAAAACAAAGAAAATTAATTTATTTATATGTTGGGGGTGAACTCCGAAAAACAAACACTGGGGTAAAATTTGTCCCGCACGTGTATTAACGTAGTGCAGTGATGCGTGTGTGCTGAAGGGTTAAGGGGCCTTGGAACTGTATTAGGGCTCACAGGCTGCAGTTTGTTCCTCCCTGATTTATGTTTAGCAAACTATCCTAGAAAAATTCCACTTTTAAAGTTAGGGAAAATTCCTTTGTGACAAGTTTAATGTTCCTTGCTGTTAGTTATTTATCACCTATCTTTGAAAAACTGCCATCAGTCTGTGTTTGAATTTTGCCTAATTTTAGTATTTCTCTTTAAAGAACTCTTTTGCATCTGTTTTCTCTGTAAGTAAAATGAAAAAATTTTTGAAAGAAAGGTTATACATACTAGGAGTTTGATGTTTTAATTTTGTAAATAGCTATTAGTCTCAGTTATATTATGTTAATTTTTATGTTTAATTGAAAATTCAAAAGAAATTCTTATCAATAATTGTATAAATATCTGGATTGTATGCTATGTTGATGGTTTTAAATTCATTTTATAAACTTTAATGGACTGATCTGAAATCTTTTAGTGCCATGCTTCATGTGGTCTCACTTACAAAACACGAGAGATTGTTTGTGTGGATCATGAGTATACCCGTGTGTCTGATGAATTCTGTGTATCACAGCATAAGCCTAAGAGAAAACGAAAGTGCAATTTAAAGCCATGCCCTTATAAATGGGAAACTGGGCTTTGGTCTGAAGTAAGTAAAATCTTTATTCTCTCACACCCTTTGGATTTCTGTGTCTGAAATTTTAATCATATAGCTGATTTAGGTTGTTTTGACATTCTAATATGCTTATAGGATATATTTTATTTTCCAGTTTATCTTAAATAGTCTGTAATAATTAAAGTACCCCACCAGTGTCCGAGTGAATAAATCTACTGAATATTTTGACTCAGTTTTAAATTCCAGTGAGCAGGCTGGTTACATGGGTGTTTTCACAGTTTTCCTCATGTGTAATGTAAATAAGAGCCAGTTCCTTTAGAAAGTCTGCTTGAAAAGCATATCTCTCTTTAGGCAAATAAATCCTCTTAGGTTTTACCAAACTCCAACAAAGAGACAATAAGTAAAGAAACTGTAATTCCTTTAGTCATACTTTTACTTACTTTACTATTTCAAAACGTCACACAAAATTCCAAATCTCTTATCTAAGATTTATGCTAATGATGAAATGAATAACTCAATGTATAAAATAATACAAATTAATAAATGTATGCAAATATATTTTGTAGGCCATTCTCATTTAGAAATACGTAATATTGAAATAATTATCTTTAAAATAAATGCAAATTTATGATTAAAAATATATTTACAATGCAATGCTGTTTGTGTCCTTTCAAACTGTTGCCAAATTTTCATATTTCAAATTCATGTTTAGTGGTCAAAAAAATTTCATATTTATTTATTTTGATCTTAAAAAATTTGGCAACTAATTTTAACTGATATTGTTCTTTTCTAATGGATAAAATTAATAATATTTTTTCCAAACAAACCTCAAGTTCAAGGTCTTCTGCATTTTCATTTGTGCCAGCAAACAGGAAAACCTTGGAATCTGGAATTCAGGTTAGAACTTTGGAATTTGAAACTGGGATGGAAAAGTTTTATCTATTGCATTAAAATCACTATTACTTATTTGTATGTGATAGATTATAGTAATTTTGGTAACTCAGAACATTTGATTAAGATGCTCATTGTGTGAAACTGAAAATATTCATAAGTGTCTTTAACTCTTGCTGTGTCATTAACTCTTGAAGTTTTATGAAGAAAATATTTTTAGTCCTCACAGTTAAAAATAGAAATTTCAAATCAAATTTGAAAATCATTCTCCTTTATGTTTTCAGCTTAAAAATTTGAATAATTATCATATATATAACAGTATTACAAATTTTTTTGTTGTTTTCAAATTTCTTCTGGTAGAAACAATTGATTTTTTTCCATTCTGTAAGGAATTTGAGATTTTATTGGTTTTGGATTTCATGGCTTTGTGTAATTTAATTCTCATTTCTTACTATTATATATATATATATATATATAATATATATACATGCATATAGGAACTGGACAACAAATGTTTTCCTCTTTAAAATAAATATGCTTCCATAGCTCATAGCTGCTTTAGATTTTTTTATGGTAAGAAACCTGTCAAACCAATAAGAAATCAGAGTTGCTTTCAGGCTATTGTTTAGTGGAGTTGAAAATGATCATAGCTGAGTTTACTGGGTTTCAAAGACAGCGAATTTATTCAGCATATCGTGGGATATTACATCTGATTACATGACCTAATATTTTGCTTCTGAAAATCAGCAAACTGTTTACTGAACTACTGAGAAAAAAAGACATTGCGGAGGATTATGATCAAAAATTAAAAGACAATGGGTTAAGAATTAACCGCTGAGCTGAAAAGCATGCTTTCAATTTCAGCCAATACAAAAACAATGAGAATATAATTTTATAAGCAGGGAATTTATGGTAGAGATGGAATCACCAAACTTCAGATTAATGAAGTGAATGCAAAGCAAAGAATGGTCCAATATTCATAAAATTTGGATCATTCATCAATTATAACTATCATCTGCTTTCATGAATCAGTTTGCACACTGTTTCCAGCTTGATGACAAATTTTCATTCAGAGAACACCAACCCAAACTTTCGATCCAGATTTTTTTATTATTATTATTGACAGTGAAGCATGCAGAGGTGGCAACCACATAATAATATTTTCCCAGCTCCATTATTTTACATGTTCATATCACTATCAAGAACTTATCATAAGGTTCCAAATCCGTCCTCTGGTGCAAACCTTGTCTCCTGCAAGTGATATTCTTTTCTAAAATGATAAGGCTTCAGATCATATATTTCATATTGGTGAACACACTGAGGAGATTTTCAGCCTTTCATGACCCATTCAAGTATCAAAACTGCTATGTTAGAGTACCTATAGTCAGTTTTAGAGAATAAAGTTCAGGCACACTTCTGGTCCTTCAGTCATCCATCAAGAACTTGAGCTAGTTTTTCTGTAACAATAGTTTAGCATTATATTATTCAGCACTTATGGTTTATGCACTAGTAGCTAAAAACTAAAGGAACAGCTATTAAAAAAAATGTGCTTTATGTAATGGGGAACAACAACTTCCTAAACTAAACTTTAGTTGCATGTGAAACTGTCGGGAAACTCATCATCCCATCTAAGTATGACAAATACAAACTCGGAAGACGGTTTAAGCAAAATTTTTTATCAAAGCAACAGCAGCAGCTTAGTAATTTGCAAAGCTCATGGTTATAAAACAATTCCCTCTACTTGTGCGATTAAGGTAACAGAAAGTGTAAAGTTTTAACAAAGTTAATACCAGAAATTTATGAAGCAAAGTCCTAGCAAGCTTTGGCTCAGACATTTTTGTAATTGTGTGAGCAAACTCGGCTTTCAAATAAATCCATGGTCTAAAATAATTCTCAGAGCTAGTCAAAGAACTATTCCAAAGGTCAGCATTGCTGCCAGTACTCTCTCTGTAAATTTCAAGAGCTATGTTCTTATATACAATTAGCTTATTTGCTTCCTGGTGGGAGCTGACAAACATAGTAATGATAGTCAGTTAAATAATTAATTAAAGTAAACCTTAAAATATTAATCCTACTAAATAAAGTCCAGTGAAATGTAGAGGTTGGTAAGCTTAAGGCCAACATTACCATGAAATCCTGCAGGATTTATCTTTGCTACACAGAACTATGCAAGTTTTTAAGCTCATTCCTTTGCCACATCTGAAAGGGAGGACAAAGAGCAGCTTTGAATTCTAATTTCAAGTATTTTATGAATAGCTGAATAAAAGTTTTGTATGTGAAAGGTGGAATATGTCATTGAGAATGCATCTGACATGTAAGAAATGGTGTGTAACTGGGAGATTGGAAGCAGGATAGACGTTGACGCAAGGCTAAAGATCTAAATATAGCCAAAAGTGTTATGTCAGAAATCTGGAAATGGCTAAAACTGCTGGTGATGTATGCAGTCAATTAAATGAAGGTCGAAAGCATGCTTCAACAGACTCTGCACTACTGTTTGACAATGTTTGAAAGAAAAAAAATTAGATTATAACTGATAACTTAGATCACCATAGATTGCAAGGGAGTTCACTGCAGCTACAAGAACTAGACTATCCAGGTATAACATGTGTTGGTTATTCAAGATTGGCATATATATAACATTCTCAAAAGAATTATCCACTTCTAACAAAAATACATTATGGCAATATACAAAAAGAAAACTTTATTAAAGAAAATCAGACATAAGAAATCTTACCACATTCTACCAAACCATAATAATAAAAACTCTCTCTTCCAGATACATTTTTAACTCATTCTTTTTACAATTTAATCAATGTTGCCAAAATATTAAAACTTAAAATTATGCTTTATAAACAAATACTATCAATCCCCTTATTTGTATTTAAAGATATAATTTTAATCAGTCATGTCCATACTTTAATAGTTCATCTTTTAATTTCACCCTAGGTAGATACTTTGTTAAATATCCGCTTCTTGATTTTGTGAACACACAAACTGAGGAATGATTTGATTCATTTCATATTCACCTTAACAAAGAAATATTTTCTATTAATGTGCCTTGAACTGCTACTTTGTTTTGGTTTTTTTTAATCCAATCTATTAATGCTTGACAGTCTGTTTTAATTCCTATTGGTTTGTCAATTAGATCATCTTGACCAAATTCTTCAAGTAAAAAGATGTACCATTTAACTTCACATGCACATTCGCATAATGCTAAAAGTTCAGCTTCCATTGTAGATAGAGCAACTATTCTTTGTTTGTTGCACTTCCAATTTATGAAATTTTTGCCTAATTTAATGAAATAACCTCCAAATGATTTTCCATCTTCAGTGGTACACCAACTTGCATCTGATGTAGCATTTAGTTTCCCATTGTCTGAAGTATACACTAAACAAGTATTTTGTGTTCCTTTAATAATCTAAATATCCTCTTTACAGCTTTCCAGTGTTTCTCTCTGGGATCTTGATTATATCTTGACAAATTACTTACTGCAAAAGCTAAGTCTGGCCTTGTGCCTGTTGCTAAGTACATCAATGAACCTAATGCTTCTTGATATTTCGTCTTCGACACAGGTGGTGAAGATGCTATATCATCAAGGTTTTCACCCAATATTCCTGGAGTCTTGATAGGTTTACATTCATCCATTTCAAAGTTTTTTAAGATTTTAGTTGTATAGTTTTCTTGACTGAGTATAAGTTTTCCAGATTCTTGCCGGATGTCTATTCCTAAAAATTTTTGTGTTTGAGTGACTTCTCGTAATGTGAACGATTTAGATAGTTGAGAGATGATGTCATTTATCTCAGAATTTGAATTTCCAATCACCATTAAGTCATCCACATATACTGCTATGATAAAATATTTGATCTTATCTTTATAAATATAAACACACAGATCTGACTTTAGTCTAGTTAAATTCTTTTCTTTAAGAACTTTACATAATTCATCATACCAGCATTTTCCTGATTGTGGTAATCCATATATACTTTTGTTTACAAGATATACTTTTGTTCGGATCTGATATAAAGCCAGATGGTTGTTCCAATGTAAATTGGTTTATCCAAGTATCCATTTAAATATGCAGTTTTTATATCGATAAAATCTTATTTTGTAGTTTTTGTAAACTGCAATCGATAGCAATGTTCTAAAGGTTGCAAGTCTCATTACTGGGCTAAATCCATCTTCATAATCAA